TTGTCATAACCCCATTGAATGGTGCACCTGAAAGGATGCATTTTTGTATGTAAATTATACGTCAATATATAGTTAAAAAGAAAAATAAACCAGATCCTATGCTTGGCTGAGGGGCTGTGTAATAACAAAAAATAACATTACCTTATAATTGAAGGACAATCTTAACTTTGAAAACGTATTTTAAAAAAAGTTTGTAAAAATACAGAATTAAAATTAGAAGAGACCAATGAGTATTTAAAATGTAATAGACAACTGAAATTATGCTTATGTAGGCATACAGTTTTCCAAAAGGGTAGATGAGAATGTGTTAACAGATTGCTTTGGGACTGAGAGTGATTGGAAGAGGTAGAGGTCTTAGAGAGAGACTTTTTTTTATTTTTACTTTATGCTTTTTCAGTGCCATTTAACATTTTAAATTATGAGTATATTACATATCCCCTCAAATTAAATGAAAATGTAACAAAAATCAGACTTTATTTAAAAATAAAAATTAAAGTTGTTATATTCATCTGCTGTCAAGGAAGTTTTTTACTTAAAAAATTTTTAAAGCGTCTGCTATAATAAAAAGGTGAGAAGAAAGCCATTCTTACATTTCAGCTTTACTTGTAGACTAGTGTATTATCTGTCAAAAGCCCTTAAAGCAATTCAACCTTTGTTAATATACCCGAAGAAATTGGATGTATGGACTAAGGAAGACATCTATAAAATGTTTATCACAGCGTATTTCACAAAATCATAAGTACAGGTCGAACGTTCAAGAGTAAGGTCATTTGTTAAGCAAATTTGGTAGTCCATAAGGTAAAATAATATGTTGCCACATAAATGATATCATACATAAAATATTTACATTATATTAAAAATATTTTATAAGCCAGATTATGGCATCATATAATGAGAATGACCATATAGTGTGTCATTCATAAGAGTACAATTTCAGAATGAATGGGGGAGCTGAAATAATTAAAACTATTTAATTTTCAGAGTATTTAATCACCGACAAATTGGTTTTATTTTATTGGGTATCCTGTAAAGTAATTCTGCTGTAAACCTATATTCTAAAATGAAATTATTAAAAACATATATTCTTGTGTATTTATCTAAATTTGAAATTATTGGCACTTTCAATTGACTCTTGCATGCTTTTATTAGAGAAGGTATTCTCCCTACAGTTGCTCAGAGCAAATTCTGCTTAATTGCAGGATATTCTCAATTCTCAATTTCTGCATATTAAAACGTTTAAATATTTCAGACCAGATATTGTTACAAATGCCATTCTTTTGCTTTCATTCAGAATACCTTCTACAAATCTGAGATATTTTTACATTGACTTTTATTTGTAATTATTTTAAGTAATCTTCCAGTTTAGATGACACAGAATCATATAGCTTCTCAATTTCATTCCATTGAAGTATACAATGTAAATAAATCTAATTGAAAATAGGAGCTCCATCAAACCATTATTCCTACAAATGAAGATACTTCAACTTAAGCTTACACATTGAATGCTTTAATTTCTTTAGTTCGTTCCTTGCTTTTGTTGGAATGCATTTCAGTATCAGCCTGTTTGCAAGCTTTGTTTCCAATAATTGCAGTTTCCTGAAAGCTTTACTCCATTCTTTCAATACATTGATTAAATATATTCAACTGACTTTCAACAGAATGCAAATCAAAATATAGAAGACTCATTATCAAAACAATTTAATATGATTGTAGAATGCTTAGGTTGATTTACTGTCAAGAGTTTACCAAACATTTTTAGAGTCTTTCCTTTTGCTGGTGGTCAGGTAAGAGAAACATCATATGTTTTGCTTGCTTGTTTTTGTTTTCTGGTATTCCTTGCAAATTTTTTGTTACTCAGGTTCTCTGAGTATATATGTAAATTTCAGTATCCAGACGTTTTACTTTGATCAGTTGAAAAAAACAAAACATGAATTTGCATGAAATTATGATCCGGTTATTTTTTGGCAGCTCATCATCATTTTAAGTTGGAATATTTTTGTCCTCAGCAGCATTATATCTTGTTCTTAGGAATTTTCTTATTTTTCTGAGTTTCTAGGATATATGTAAGTATCAAATTTAATATTTTAGATTCTTCCTGTGACATGATGTAAAAAATGTAAAAACTTTGTTTAGAATTTAGTATTTTGAAAAGTGTTCCTTTTTGACTTTTGGCTAGAAGTTCTTTTTATAGAGAATGGCAAACTGTTGGACTTCCTAAGTTTTGTTTTTATAGTTGACCACACTGTAATTCATCCACTGTGCTGAAACCTAGTTAATCTTTCTAAATGGTATGCTTTATTCCTTAAGTATGTTATAATCCTTAAAGTTATTCGTGACTTTCCATCACACTTAACGACTAAAATTTTACCATGGCCTACAAAATTATTACGTAGTCCAGATTATACCTTGCTTTTTAACCTCATCCTGTGTCATTCACTTCCCCTTACTTTCTGAACTCTAGCCAAACTAGCCTCCTTCCTTTCCCTCAAGGCCATTACTTTTGCTGTTTCCCTTACTGGGAATTCTGTTTTTCCAGATCTTTCCATTACTGGCTCCTCATCATTCAGGTCTCAGTTCAAATCACATCATTTTAGAAACATTTTCTCTGAACATAATATATAAAGAGCCTTTTTTCTAACTCACTCTCTATCCCTAGTACTCAACATTCTATTTTTCCTTTTTAATTTTCTTCATAGCAACTATCGCTATTTAAAATGATCTTATTTATTGTAGGAGCAGGAATAGTATATGTCAGGTTCACCACTCTCTCACAGCATAGTAAACACTTACATTTGTGAAATGAATGACTGTCTTATGTAGTTACTATATCCATATTTATTCTCTGATTCTCACTTCTAGCTATAAAATATCTTAGTGGTATTTGCCTTCCATATTTTCAGACAATTTAAAAATAGCACCAAACAAGGAACTTTAAGCAAGGTTGTGATATGTTCTTACATTTATTTTAATGTTTTCTAAACACAAATAAAATATAAGGTGTGGAATTGACAGAATACAAGTGAAGATAAGATGAGAAAAAATATGTATAAATACATATGTTTTTTGAGACGGAGTTTCGCTCTTCTTGACCAAGCTAGAGTGCAATGGCGCAATCTCAGCTCATGGCAACCTCCGCCTTCTGGGTTCAAACGATTCTCCTGCTTTAGCCTCCCGAGTAGCTGGGATTATAGGCGCCTGCCACCATGCCCAGCTAACTTTTTTGTATTTTTAGTAGAAATGGGGTTTCACCCTGCTAGTCAGGCTGGTCTTGAAATCAGGTAATCTGCCTGCCTCGGTCTCCCAAAGTGCTGGGATTACTGGCGTGAGCCACCCCACCTGGCAAAAATATTTATATTTGTACTTCTCCCTTTAGATCCTAGAGAATGGTCTAGAGTTCTTGTAGGAATAATCTAGGAACTCTGCTGCTTGAACAATCTAGACTTCCAGTTCCAACCATGAAATACCTTTTATCAGACTACCCTCCTACCAAAAGCAGTCATGAAAGCTAGACAAAATATGTAAAACCAAATGGTTTGAAGACACTGAAATGCAATTAACTCAGGTAGAACTTGAGGGGCTATGATCCTAAGGTCATCGCCATGTAAACATTGGCTTTTTCCCTGAGGATATGTTCTAAATCATGTTCAGAGCAATAGAGGCCATATCTAAAGTGGCAGTCATTTCGGGCAGAGGAGACAATGGTCAGGCCCTGGAACTGCTAAAATGACTGAAATATAGGGACAAAATCTCATATGGAAAGAAATTGCAGAGGAAAAGCCCAAAATTTATGGACAAATTTCCCTCAAGTCATTGGTGATTCTATAACCACATATATAGGGCAAACAAGACTCAAAGAAACCCAGCAGAAAATAGCAGAAGGAAATTAAAGGGCTAAGGAGAAAATTTAACAGCCACATGATAGTGGGGAAACAGGTTAGGCTGCTTAGGTGCCCTTGGTAAATACCCCTGGCTTCCAGCTGAAATTCCCAGGTCCATTTCAGGAAGTTGGGGTAAAAACGGAAATGGACTGTCTTTAACAAAGCCTAAAACACAATATAGTCTGCGTTTACTCAGTCTGTGTTTAGAAGAAATTTAACCTTTTTAGAAGATAATGTAATTCAAAGCCTCTACAATTTTTCATTTATGTAGTCTGGCTTCAAATAAAAAATTACTGAACAGTTTAAAAAAAGAAAATGCAAGAGCATATTCTAGAGATTATATCTGCACAAATGAAATGTTTATGAGATTATTCACTGGAAAATGTTCATGATAACAAAATATTGGAAATAGCTCAAGGGACCATCATTAGGGAATTTATTAGACAAATTGTATATGTTTATATAATATATTAATTTTCACACAGGCACTATCATCATTTGGTGCAAACCAGTTCTTTATTGTATGATACTGTCCCAATCATTTGCTACAGAGCAGTTTGTAACTTTGGACCTGGCACAATAAGTGGAGGTTGCACATTCAAGTTTTGAGACAACTCAAAATGCTGCCACACATTTTCATGTGCCTCTAGGGTGGTGCATTCCACTTGAGAATCATTAATATTATGGAATTCTGTACAACTGTAAAAAAAAAAAAAAACGAGAAAACTGTTTGTGAACTGATACGGAAAGACCACCAACTTGCTATGTTTTGTTTAAGAAAGGAGGACAGTGAGAATATATATTTGGATTGCCTACATTTGCATAAAACATTCTGTAGTCATATGTAAGAAAGGAATGAAAGTGATTTTCTTTGGGGCCTGGTGAGGTGAATGGAGATGAGAATGGGTGAAATATATTTACTGGATTTTAAAAATACTGTTTTAATTTTTAGAACATGGATTTATTACCTATTTAAATTTTTAATGCAATTTTAGATATAAATAAGCTATTGTGTCAGATATAATAATTTCTAAGAGATCTATTTAAAATTTACATATTCATTAAACAAATGTTTTGGTCTTTTCCCAATCCTGTCTCCTTTTACTTTTCCTTTTCATTCAGTGGAGTAGGGCGAAACTGGGGCTGGGCATCTGCAGGTAGCAGCATTCTGGCTGAATTTGGTACACTACATATGGAGTTCATCCACCTCAGCTACTTGACAGGGGACCTGATTTACTACAAAAAGGTTTGTTTTCTTGCCTTCTTTTCTTTGTTTGTTATAAAGAGTCCTTCAAAATTGGCCCAAAGATTTGATTAATGCTTAAAATGTTTGCCTTTCTAGATATATGTTTATTAGGGCTTTAGCCTTTATATTCTCTTTTGAAGTTACTCAAAGAAATGTCCTTTCTATTTAGGACATATTTAAAATATTTATTGTTATTTGAGAAGTTATAACTACTATTACATTTTTAAAAAATTTCATTGCTATTTTTATGCAGCATTGTGCTGCAGTACCTAGCCAGCCTGGTAAGACAAGAAAGACAAAATATGTTCTGTCTTTGTCCAGATGTTTAAGAACTGAAAAGGAAGAAAGAAAATAGTAGTTATTCACAGATTACGTGATTATTGACCTATTACTAGAAATAAGAGTTTAATATGTTTTTTAAATAGATGATCAATATGGATGTTAAAAATCAGTGGTATTTCTCTACACCAGCCACAAAAGGCAAGAAAATGTCATTTTGCAAAAAGATACCTTATGTAATAGAGCAAGAGTATATATGTTTCCTACAAATAAATCTAACAAAAGATAAAGTTCAAATTTTTACTCAGCCATGAAAAAGAATGAAATCCTTTCCTTTGCAGGAATATGGATGGAACTGCTGGGGGACATTATGTTAAGTGAAATAAGCCAAGCACAGAAAGACACATATTATATGTTTCATTCATATGTGGGAGCTAAAAGAAATTGATGTCATGGAGGTAGAAAATAGAATGATGGTTATCAGAGGCTTGGAAGGGTAGTGAGGAGAGAAGGATAAAAAGGGGTTTTTTAGTGGGTACAAAAGTGCAGTTACACAGAATGAATAAGATCTAATGTTTGATAGCACAATAGAGTGACTCTAACAATGATTTGTTGTATATTTCAAAATAGCTAGAAGAGAAGATGTAGAATGTTTCCAACAGAAGAAATGATAAATGTTTGAAGTAATGGGCATTTCAGTTACTCAGATTTTATCATTACACGTTATATACTAGTATCAAAATACGTACAACTCTTTCATACCCATAAAAATTAAAAATTAAAATTTAAAAATACAAAACTTTATTAAATGACATTGAAGAGGATATAAATAAATGGAGGGATATCATATTTATGTATAGGTAAACAATATCATAAAAATTTCAGTCATCCCCAAATTTGTAGCTAAATTCAGTGCCAGTGAAATCTCTAATGGCTGTTTTCCTCCCAATGGAGCTTGAAAAGACACTTCTAGAATTTATACAGTAAAGAAACATTCTAGACACTTGTGAGGAAAAACACCCTGGCTGGATTTACATTGCCCAATTATCAACATTGACAGTGTAGTATTTGTTAATAGGGACAAACAGACGAACAGAATAGATAGCCTTTAAACAGACCTACGTATATGTAGAAACTTGTTATAACAAGTGTTGCACTGTGGATTATAATAGTTAATTCCAGGAACATTAAAGGCTTAACTTTAAAAAATAAAACACTGACATTTTGAGAATAAAAAATATATGCCCTTGGGGTAAAAAGGATTTCTACAATGGGAAACAAAAAATATTACCTAGTAAAAATACCCTATAACCCAGCAATTCCATTATTTGGTATGTACATTTACATTATATACATAGAAGCATTGTTTGTATTGGCAGTTTATATAATAAAATACAAAACAGCAATGAAAATATGAATTATGTTTGTATCCGTTAGTTAAAAGAATATGATACAATTTTTGTAAAGTTCAAAACAAAGCTGAACAGTATATTGCTTAGGGATTCAAAATAGTTTTGATAAATTGTTGAAGTAAAAATAACATACAGAGATGAATCTCTGAATTAAATGTTTTATTTGGAAGCACAGAATTCCAATTCAAGGCATACACACAGAGTAGGGTGGTTGGTCCTCAATCCATCCAGAAAACAAAGAGAAGGTTGGAAGTTTTATTAGAGGAGAAATGTTATGTATCGTTTTGAAAGGAAGTGTGTTGACACGAGTAAAGCTTCTAGAAGCTGTCTGGCCCTGATTCGTGACAGCAGTAGGTAAAACTATAATGTTAGGGTTATAGCAGCTGAGCTTGTGGAAAACGTAATTTTTGGAGCCGGTATTATGTGCCACAGGTGATTTTCCGCTGGGCCCTTTGACTCTGAATTAGTTGGGTATGACAGGAATGACCCAATTCATATAGTTTGCTTTCACAAAGTCAAGATAATGACAAATATGAAACTCAAGACTACAGATACATCTGGGATATAGGCAGTAGTATGTGAATGGGCAGTGGTAAATAGACCATCAAAGATGTTTGTAGTGTTGTATTTCTTAAATTGAGATGTGAGTAGAGTTGAGATATATATGTATATTCCTTTCTGTTTATGAAATACTTCAACAGAGCAGAATTTTCAGGTAAATACAGCAAAACGGAACTAGATGACAGAATTTTCCCTGTCCTGACTAAATGAATAAAAAAAAAAATTAAAGACAGTAAAAATTCATCAATAGCAATAAAAGAAGGAAAAGATGTAACTTCATGTCATATTTGATAACCAAAATAAAAAAACAAAAACAAAAAGATTTCTGATTTCTGGCATGAGACATAAGTCTGCTCCCTACCCTATCCTGAAACCTTTTTGGGAAAAGAGAGTCAACAAATTCCTAGTATTCCCTATCAGTCTTGCCAAGGAGACCAGTGCCCAGAGCATCACATATTTAATTGTCCACAGTTCCAGCAGAGTTCTCACCTCTCATCCTTCTTGAACACATAGGCTTCAAGTGATCAGATAGAAGTACACTAGTACTCCAGATCTCAAATTGTATCGAGGAAGGGAGAAACACACACACACACACACACACACACACGAAGAACTCAAGGAGAAATTAAAAAGTTCAGGCCAGAACTGACCCTTTTAAATGTGAACAATATAAAACAGAAAGCATGGCAATTGTGCAAACATACTGCTGGAAACAAAAGCGGAGTGGTAAATAGCATGTAAAAGACTGATAAAGAATCCAGTTTCAAATTTTAAAAACAGTAAAAAAAAAAAAAGTCACCATGAGTAATTCATACTATAATAGAAATTAAATTTAACAGAACTCAAAACCAAAATAAAACAATAAAATGATACAAAAATATTGTGGAGCTAAAGAAACAAATGGAGACTTAAAAGGATGTATCCCCTAGCTAATAAAATGGGAAATAACAAAGAACTCATTGCATATAGTGAAAAACTGAATTTCTTACATGGAATAAAAGCAAGAGATAGTCATAGACAAAACAAAGGAAAAGCAAAGATTAAAAAGATAATAAATTTGTAAAATAAACATAATTTAACATATGGTCCTTCTTGAAGTAGAAAACCTAAATCATAGGAATTAACCTAAAAGCAGCAAGAAGAAACACTGCTGGGCACAGTGGTTCACATCTGTAGTCCCAGCACTTTGGGAGGCCAAGGTGGGTGGATTGCTTGAGCTCAGGAGTTCGAGACAAGCCTGGGCAACATGGTGAAACCACTTCTCTACCAAAAATTAGCCCTGTGTGATGGCGCATGCCCGTACTCCTCAGCTACTCGGGAGGCTGAGGTGGGAGGATCACTCAAGCTTGGGAAGCGGAGGTTGCAATGAACTGAGATTGAGCCATTGGACTCCAGCCTGGGCGACAGAGCAAGACTCTGTCAAAAACAAAAACAAAAACAAAAACAAAAAACCCCCTGCAAATTCCATGTTTAACAAAATTAAGAGATACTTCATATCACCAAATAGGAAGAAAAGTAGGCATATAAGCAGTAAAGATCAGAGAGAGGTTTGGTATAAACAGAAGAGAGGATGTTTGGGGCTGCAGACTACAAAATACAAAACCAGTAGAGCCCAGTTGTCTGAATTAGGTGGTGTAACTTGACATACAGAACTCAAATTCTTATGAGCAGCAATGAGAACAGGATCACAGGCTGATGGGGTGTACTTCTTTGGACCTTACTAAACATAATGTGTTGAGAAGCTGGAAAAACAGAAGTCAGTAAGGATTCTCACAGGTAAGCTGTTTGTGCCTGCGGACTTTGGTGAGAGAAGGGAATGAACGACAGATTCACTATTGTGAGCAGTGCTGCATTTCCAATCTCAAGTGGCTGGGGAGAAGCAAAGTCTAAAAAAACGTATTTATATCTGGACTCTTACCTGGTGTTTTATGTCAAAACTTTCAGAAAAATAGTAATGAGTAATTTGTTAAAAAAGAACAGGTACAGAATTTATACAAAGATATTACCAGAAAAAAGGAAGGAAAATGGTGGCCACAAAATATGTAAAAAGAGCAACTGAAAATTCCGACCAAATATCACCATGAGAGAAAACATAATAAAGATTTCATCTGTGTAGAACAAGTATATAAACAGAGATACAATTGCTCAGAGACAATAAGATCTCATGTCAGTAACAAAATATAAGAAAAAATAGTTATCAACAAAATGAAGGCCAAAATGGAAGCAATACAAAGAAAGACAGTGTTCAAAATATAAGGCGCTTAGATGACAAAATTGAGAAAAACTAGTAAATGTGTGGAAATAAAAAGAGACAAGAGTTAGAAAGAAAATGACAGATAAGGAAGAAAGGCGGAAAGAATTGAATAGTATACAGTTTCTGGATGACAGAAGAGTTAATTTTCTCCCCTTTTATAACATCATTCAGAACTATCTAAAAAGTAGTCTGTGGAATTTTTCAGATTGAGATTGTTATACATAGTGTTGGTCTCAAACGTGAAAGAACACAGGGAATACAGACAGCATCCTTGAGTCCATTCCTAAAACTACTTAAAGACAAAATCCAGCCAAATGAATGACAATGGGAAACCTTGTGGCAGAAGAATTAATATTGTACTCAAGTCCAGAAAAGTGAAGTATATATCAGGTCCTCTGAAAAAGAAGGGTTTTCCCAAGTCATTTATACCAGCCAGGTTATTCATCAAATGTAATGACAATATTCTCAAACAAAGAAGAATACAAGGAACATAACACCTCCTCCCACCCCCAGAGGCTCCCTTAAAAGCACTTACAAAGTTCACCCAATCTAGAGTTGAATCAAAATAAATCCCTAGGAAAGTCTCCGGCTTCTTAATATATTTCACGATTTTTCTTTCCCCATTACCCTCAGGAAGATATTTTAAAATTTGGAATATCAGGAACTTAAAGATATCTATTGTGGGAATAATTTTTAAAGTTCAACAGTTTGTTTTACTTCATTTACTTTTTGATCTGTTCAATTCAAATTAATACTTTTCAAAATACAATGGCATTTTATGATTCAATTCCCGTGAAGTTATTTCTGTTCTTATATTTGAATATATACATGTTGACTGTGTCTGGAATGATGTTTATAACTGATGTTTCAGATGATATTTCTAGGCAGTAGCATGTTGAGATTTAAAATGGTTTCTATCTGTGTTATTTCCTCTGTATTATTTTTATTGCTTGATTTTAAAATAACACATATCTTATAAAAATGACTCATTTAAGAAATAGAAGGCTTTGTTGACTCCCCCCTGCCCCTCCAGCACACACACAAAGGCAGGGAATAGGTATAGATTCTGAGTAAGGAAAAACACAAAGCCTACATTAACACCAAGCCTTGATGACACTTCTTTTATTAATTGCATTCTTAATTTTATTTTACTTAGGTTATGCACATTCGGAAACTACTTCAGAAAATGGATCGTCCAAATGGTCTTTATCCAAATTATTTGAACCCCAGGACAGGGCGCTGGGGTCAGTGTAAGTATTCTAGTATACCTGAGGCTTTCTTAAAGAATTATTTGTCTGAAAACTCTTTGCTTGATGTAGTACAAAGTACACTACGTGGAGTTAGAAACCCTCAGTGTCTAGCCTTGTGGTCTACTGGTGCTGGTCTTAGCCATATTTCTTATCTCTCTTAGCTTCAGTTTTCCCACTTGTGAAATGGAAATGTTAATAACATGTCTCCTAAGAGTATTTTATTTCCTGTATTGCTAAAATATAGTGTGGCAGTTTGAAGGTTGTACTTAAAAACTCTTATTAATAAATTACCTCTTCATGTAAATAAAAGCACCACTTAGGAGAGGGAGGTAGAGAAGGACTATGAAAAGCAAACGAATATAGTAGATTACTAGAAGCGAGGCAGTTGTTCTTGGATAAGCCATGTCTATTCATTCATTTTAGAAGAAGGCATCCTGGCCTTCATTATTTACCAGTCTCTGTGCTAAGTTCTTAGAAGAGATTGAGATGGAGAAAGAACATAGGGTTTGGCCTGAATTCACAGGCTGGCAGGATAGGCCGACACATAAATGTTATTGTATAGGAAGGTACCAATTGTTACATGAAACTGTGGGAAAAATGATTCCCTCTGCCTGAGGGGAAAGTATTTTGTTTAGGGAGAGGGTAAGTTTTCTTATTAGAGCTCATTTATTTTTGAAGAAATTGATTTTTAAAAGTAACAACTAATAAATATTTATGTGGAAATGTGGAACTTACAGAATTTTAGTAATTGTAGGTTTATCAATGCTCTTCTTTTTTAAAGGTTAGGAAAACAAGAACAAATAATAGAGACTGCAACTTTGCCACTAACAAAACACGATTCAGTTATTTTTGAGACTAATAAAATCCTAAGTAGTAAATAAGAGACAAAAGTAACGATCGTTTAATTTTAGTATTGTAAGCACTGCTGATTCTGCCAGTAAGAAAATATGCTGGTGTGAGTACCCAGAATAGGAAAACATTTGCCCTGGAATTGTCTTCTCGTTCCTTTCCAGGAAATTGTCTTTCATTTTATGAAAGGAAAGCAGATAGGTCAATATAATTATGTCTTTCATGAATCTGGAAATAGATCTCAATCTTTTTTGACTATTTTTATACTTACTTTTCCTGTTTCCTGAAATTATTTACATATGATTCATTTTTCTCTTTATTTTGAAGAAGATAAAAGCTCTACTGCCTAGAATGAGTGGGAATGGTATTTTTTGGAAAAACAAAACCCTGAGAGCTGCATTTCTAAAATGTAAAACCACAGTTTTCTTATTTCAGATAAGAGTGACTGAATTGGATGTCTACTTAGTAATTTCGATGAATTCTATTATCAATCTTTACCCCTGTGAGTTGTATTGAGATTTGAGAATATTATGATAATATGATGATATAATATATATGAAAAATTATGTTCAGTTCCTGTCTTAGACTATATGCCAGTGTATATTCTATATGGTTTTACTATTTAAATGTAAAAGATGAAATCATAAAAGTACTAAAAACAGGGTTGAATATATAATCAGGAAAGCCTTTTCTAAGCATATCACATAAAACAGAAACTACAAAAAAAGGTGTCAGTTTTTCCTGTATATTATTGTTAACCTCTGTATTAGTCTGTTCTCATGCTGCTGTAAAGTACTGCCTGAGACTGGGTAATTTATAAAAGATAGAGGTTTAATTGACTCACAGTTCCACAGGGCTGGGGAAGCCTCAGGAAACTTACAATTATGGCAGAAGGGGAAGCAAACACATCCCTCTTCACATGGTGGCAGGAAGGAGAAGTGCCAAGCAAAATGGGGAAAAGCCCCTTATCAAACCATCAGATCTTGGGAGAACTCACTCACTATCAAGAGAACAGCATGGGGGTAAAACATCTTCCTGTACCCAGTCTCCAGAGTGTGTACATTTGTATGCGTTTTGAACCACCAACTCATTTCCAGCAGTTTATTCCAAATAAATTTTCAGAGCTGTATATTAAAGTTTATTTACTACAGTCTTGGGGTTGTTTATAATAGGGATAATTTGGAAACAATCTGAAGCAGTCCTAACAGAACTTTCTGTAATGAGGAAAAGATTCTATTATCTGTGTTATCCAATACAGTAGTCACTAGCCACATGTGACTGTTGAGCACTTGAAATGTTGCTAGTATGGTTGTGGAATTACATATTAAATTTTACTTTAATTAACTTACATTTAATTAGCTACTTGTAGCTTGTGCTTCTACATTGGACAGGGCAGTTTTTAAATGTCTTACATAGGGATTTGGTTAAATACATTTTGGCCTGTCCAGATACAGTATACTATTCAGCCATTAAAAATTATATTTTAGAATACCTGACATAGATAAATATGACATATCTAGAAAGATATTTAGAAAAAGAGAGGAAACACTATAACAATAGAAACCAAAGTGTTATGTGTGATTTTCTCTGAATTATTGTTTTTATTTTCTCCTTTTCATTTACTGTTACTATCCAAATTTGATTATGAACATCTCTTACTTTTGATGTTAGCTTAAAAACATTTTTAAATAAAAAGAGAATCCCATTTTCCATGCCAGCATAAGGATACTTAAAAAAGTAAATCACAGTTTGGGAATTGCCAGCCTTGAAATGATCAAAAGTAGAGCATTGATGACATGGAGGCAGGAGAACTGCTTGAACCCGGGAGGCGGAGGTTGCAGTGAGCTGAGATTGTGCCACTGCACTCCAGCCTGGGTGACAGAGCGAGACCCTCTCTCAAAAAACAAAACCAAAACCAAAAAACAGAACTCTTTCTCTTCAGCATTGTGTTGAGAAAACTGGATAGCCCCGTGAAAAATAATGAAGTTGAACCCTTAGTGTATATTATCTACAAAAAAATTAACTCAAAACAGATCAAAGACTCTAAATTTGAGAACCAAAACTATAAAACTCTTAGAAGAAAACATAGGGGCAAATCTTCATGACCTTTGATTTGACACTGGATTCTTCAGTATGACACCAAAGGCAGAGGTAACAAGACAAAAATAAAAGATAAATTGGATTTGATTAAAATTGAAAATTTTTTGTGCATCAAAGGATACTATCTGTGAGAAAGAAAGACAACCCACAGAACGAGAGAAAATATTTGCAAATCACATGTCTTACAAGGGTATATACACAGAATATGTAAAGAACTCCTACAACTCAGCAACAGAAGGCAAACTACCTACAACTCAACAACAGAAGGCGAACTACCAAATTAAATAATGGGTGAGGACTTGAATAGTCATTTCTGCAAAGAAGTTAAGCAAATGGAAAATAAGTACACGAAAAAGATGATTAACATTAAAATGCAAATCAAAACTCAATGAGATACCACTTCACAGCTACTAGGAAGACTCTAATCAAAAGGATGAAAAATAAGCATTGGCAAGGATGTGGAGAAATTGGAACCCTTGTACACTGCTAGTAGGAATGTAAAATGGTGTAGCTGCTGTAAAAACCTAGCAGTTCCTTAAAAAGTTAAACATATAATTACCATATGACCCAGCACTTCATCTCCTCTGTATATACTCAGAAGATTTGAAAACAGAGACTGAAACAGATACTTGTATCCTAGAGTTCATTACAACATTATTTATGATATGCAAAAGGAGGAAGTAACTCAAATGTCCAACAGACGAATGGGTAAACAATACGTGAGTATAAACATACCATGAACTATCCATAAAAAGGAATGAAGTTCTGATACATGCTATAATATAAACGAACCTTGAAAACATTATGCTAATCAAAAAAAGTCACAAAAGGACAAATATTGTGTGATTTCACTTACATCAAATATCTAGAGTTGTCAAATTCATAGAGACATAAAGTAGATTAGAGTTGACTGGAAGCTTTGGATGAGAAGAAAGTGGAGAGGAGAATGGAGAGTTATTGCTAGAGTTTCTCTTTGCAGTGATGAAAAGTTTTGGAAATAGGTGGTGGTGATGGTTTTACAGCACTGTGAATATAATTAATGCTACTGAATGGTACACTTTCAAAATAGCTAAAATGGCAACTTTTGTGTTATATACATTTCATTACGATAAAATTTACAACAAAAAAGATAACTTTTATTCCTCTGTTTTTTCCTCACAGAATAAATTCAAATTACTTTATAATATATTCACTCTCAGCAGTTTTTAATTTCGATGTTATAGAAAGAGCCATTCACTGGTTATTTTGGCAGAAGATCTTTAAAATCCTAGTGAGCTGCCCTGATATCCTTTTAACAGCTGTAGTCCTTACAAAATTGCCCAATTTGTTCCTTTTAATGTTTTTGTATATTTTATATCAGCTTCTGAAAAGTATATCAAATTTTATTATCTTTGAGCAGTATACATCTGTCATATTTATAAATAGTCTGCAAAACAAACATTTAATTGAACTGAAATTTAACAATTCAGCTTTGGCTAACTGTATTATAATTAGAGTAATGATAATGTCTGTGACTTGCACATAGCAATCACAGAGAATAATTACTGGTAATTATGTTCAGGAAAAGTACTTGGCAACAGATATAAAAGAATATAGTAAGAAACCTAGATTTAAAGGCAAATTACTAGTTTTTTTTTCTTTTCTTAAACTTTATATTTTTACTATTCTAAGCATAATACTTAACCTATGTCATTTAATGATTAAAGTGAAGAAAATATAGGAAATCAGTCATTACTGATTCATTGTGTTATATTACTAAATTTATAATTGTGGAAAAAACAAGAATGAACATGTTATTTTGAGTTAGAAAATGAATTCTGATTGTCTTGCTTAATAATTTAGATAATTTATTTAGCTTCTCTATGCATCTTCATCTGTCCTAATTGTACTTATTTAATAGAAAATTCATATGGGTCATATTTATGAGAAAATATATTTGAAAATGCTTCAAATTAGTTTTTACTCTAGAATTTCCCATAAGAAGACTTCAAGAAATAGCTTCTGTTAGAAACCTGCCATTAACTGTATAACATGTTGAAATAAATCATGTG